TGTCTTCAGCATCGGCTGGTGAAACATTTGCCACAAAATTGACAATGTTGCATTGTGGAAAAAAAATTTAATGACATTGGTATACAAAGAACTCCTCTATTTGCACACAATATAGTTTGTGTAGTGAGGGCCTGCTTTTAACAATGATCTTGACAAAGACTTAAGTTTATTGACATTTTCAAATGACCACAAATGTAGCAAACAGGATATGTTTCAGTGAAAGCAGATGGTTTGAATAGGTTTGGTCTTTATGTAAATCATTATTTTGTTCAGGATTACTGCCAGTGAAAGGTTATACTCAGTCTTTACGATGCTTTCACTTCAGGACAGAAGTACTAAATAAATACCAAGGCACCAGCCATTTGAAAGTGTGACACATGCAATTACAGAATTATTGAAGTTATTGGTTACATCTAACAGTAATTACAAACTAAATGATGTTGTAGCCATCTATAGAAAATATACAGAAAGAAAAAGAAAGGAAAGATGAGGGAAAAAAGAGAAAAAGAAGAGGGAGAGTTGCATTCTCAAATGTGTTTTGAAATAAAACTCACATTGTATCTCGTGTTCTCACAAAATCTTGATGACTCATAAGGCCCTTTGCCAAGTACACTGCTTACATTGTCTTATTTGAGTAGAGAATTTCAGTTTATAATTGAGGCATTATGTGACAGTATAATACAAGGATTTTCTCTCTTATGACCACATTTCAACCTTTATAAGCTATTTTCAAAAATATTGTACATTCCATTGGGTTAAAAATTATATTGAAATGTGTTCAGATAGTCCTTTGTGTCTGATTAAACCTGCGTTACACAATCAGATGTGCAACTCCCCCCCATGTGGTTCTTGCCAATGACGTGCAGGGCCAAACAATTGCACAAGTAAATCTGATAGAATTTAAATAATCATTTGATCCAGGTGTGGTGTAGCTTTTCTTTACTCGTAGCATGTTACGGTTTTGCTAAGGCCGGTGCCATGTGACTTCCCTTACCCTGAGGGAGACATTAATCATACTCACACAATCACACGAACACACAAGCACATAAACACCGCACACACACTACACACACACACACCCACACACCACACAGTCAACCATCCATGCCCATCTAATCCTCAGATCTTTCTGTCCTTTACAGTCTGAGTGGCACTGTTTTCATTGTAGTCATTGCCTGTGAGTCATCGTGCGTCTGAGCCAAGCTATTTGCTCTGGTTCACACTAGCTGACACACCTAGGACCAGGAAACACACCCATTCCCACATATCCTTGTATTCAACTAGAGTGACCTGCCACACAGTGGTGACAGTCACAGGGGATTCAGTTTGTAAAAACATGCACTGATTGCGCAAAATATTCGGGACATCTCCCTAATTTTTTGTTTTACCCTATTGCACAATCCACATTTTAGTTTCCTCAAAGCTCTTCTCCAACTTTCTCCATATCTTCATTGGCTTATCTTGACCTCTTCTCCTGCTGCAGATTCATTTACATTCAATACAGGTGAAATAATAAGTAACAATGGCTTTTATCTGGCTCTCATCAGTGTAAGATTGAGTTATTAAGTTACATTGAAAATGCGTAAACATGGTCATGTGGTACAGAACACGCAGCAGTGCCAGAGTTTACTGGGTTTGTTGTGTGACCATAAACGTTCAAAACCTGCTCAAAAGTTTTACATGTGCACACATCATATGAGTTGTTGGTTTGTTGTGTGACCATAAACGTTCAAAACCTGCTCAAAAGTTTTACATGCGCACACATCATATGAGTTGTTGGTTTGTTGTGTGACCATAAACGTTCAAAACCTGCTCAAAAATTTTACATGCGCACACATCATATGAGTTGTTGGTTTGTTGTGTGACCATAAACGTTCAAAACCTGCTCAAAAGTTTTACATGCGCACACATCATATGAGTTGTCTGTGTACAAGCAGTAATTGCTCTAAGCTGAAACTGTTCTTTACAGCCACACCTCAGTGGCAAAAAGTCAAACTTGCATGGCGCAGAAGCCGAGCATGTGAAGCATGATCCTTTTCACATTTCTGTTGCAATATAAATAATCTCTGCAGTCAATAACATTATGCTATACATATTGTTCACCTACTCATTCACAGAATATGTATATATTATAATTTCTGAGCTCTACAGTAATGTGTTTTTTTGTTAGGAACATTTTACTATCCTTTAGAATTGTTTATTTAAAACACTGTTGCAGTCCAAAGATTAAAGCAATTCCACACTTCATGCAGAGTTCTTTAGGGTTTCTGCTTATTTTGCACATGGTTTGAATTACTCCTTCACTTTTATCTCACTGTGCAAACAATCATACACAAATACACTCATGTGCACACACAAAAAGTGGCCCTTCTGTTTATGGGAGAGCTGCACACTGCTTTTGAGAGAAAACAAAATCAGAGTTCTCTTGACTCATGGTGGTGTAATGAGATAATATTAAAGTGTGTGTGTGTGTGTGTGTGTGTGTGTGTGCACATGTACGTCTGTGTGCCACGCCCTGTTCGATCCCTACAAAGCCACGCAGTAACTGTGTTTGCTCTACTCCTTGCATATTGTTTGCTATTTCACCTCACCAAGCATGGGTGTGACATGTTGAAGAGGAGGTGTTGTTCAAGGACAAAAACACATACGTTAACACTCATATACATCCATCCACATACCACATGACATCCCATTTGCAAAGATCAGTGATTCCCAACCACTTGTACCCAAGTGTGTTCTTCTGCAGTTACAAGGAGGTATGAGTAAAGATTATAGGGTAACTCAACTCAGATTGAAAAATATATCTCCATATTGCCTCAGTTGTGGTTGTAACACCTAAGAATGGATATTTGATGTAATTGTTGGTAGTGGACAATTAAAACAGCTCTGAAAAAGGTATAGGCCTACAGCGGACCAAACCACTTTGATGTATAGGAGGGGGGAGGACATCACCTCGCAAAACTACTGGACTCGTATTACAGAACAAGAGATTAACCGTTTGTGTACCAAATACATTGAGTAGACGGCGCTGATCCACAGCAGTGGTTACATTTAATTGTTCTGATCAAAATACTGAGGTCAATTCGGTAGCGTTATACGCTGGATTTTGGTAGTGTCCCTACTAAATTTCACGCACTTGGTAACACCCTTAAACAGTCTGGTAACACCTAAACACGATGTGTTGTAAAGGAGCGTGTGAGTTAACGAGTGAGCAGGGAGTTCGAAAAGTTCAGGTAACAGGTAAATAGACTAATGGATACATGTTCGAAATGGTTAGCTAGAAGCAGAGCCGTTAAATAAGTCATATTAAGGGCTCTGCTTCTAGCTAACCATGGAACAGATGAAATAGCTAAAAGTAATCTTCAAATGGAGTTAATTGTTCAGGTTCAACTACTCCAAGGGGAAGAAGAATAAATAAAAACTGCCAAATCGACCTAAACATTGAAACAATTTTATGAAAAATGTATAGCAAGCACTTAAAGTATGTTCTTCTTAAACTTACTGTATATATTAACAGCGTTAAAGAACATGTTTCAAATCAGTTCAAATGCACACATTTGGAACATGAGGGGCAGTGTCAATAGGGGGTACTTGAGTTCATATGAAAGGGTGGTACATCTGACAAACAAGGTTGGGAATCACCATCCTAAAATATTACTGCAGCTACAGAATGTTTCACCAGACATTTTCATCTATAAGCCTGTAAGGTCTCATTTGCTGACCCAGTATTACCCTTAATCCCAGGCTGAATGTGTCTGAGGCACCACCCTATGACTCTGTCTCAACGACTCATGTCATTTTTTCTTCCCTATGCACTACACTGAATCACATGGCCAAACTCGAAGTTGCCATTGTAAGTTATAACTTTTACTGACCATTTGCAATGTGTGGAGTTTTCTAAAACAAAAGTCACAAAATCTTTTATTTTTTTAAATATTGGAGGTGAGTAAGGCAGAGTCCTGTTTGCTTGGCTGGCCCTGTGTTTGAGCAGATTGAAACATGCGCACCAACAGTATTGTGAGAGAGTAAAACTGAAACATCATTCAGTGTATCATGGCTGGAATGTATTCTTCAAATACTTCAAATAACAGTAAGCTGTAAGGGGAACAGTAGCCTACCTATGAAAGTGTTTCACTCTAAAAATCTTTCGTGTGATGCATTACAAAAGTATTAAGGGAAGAGAGTAGGCTATGTTCTTCCTATTGATTATTACTGTGATTATTACCATTGCTCTTTTCAGGTTATGAAATGATGGAGCAATATAACAAAGTATGTGACGCATACTTTCAAAATCCTCTGAATACATTTTAAAATGCAAAACAGAAACCCTTCAGTAATACTTGGTTCAGGGTGGGCATTGTAAAACCAAACACTTCTTCAATCCTGTCTTGTAAATACTCACTTTGCCTTTTGTATGTAAGTAAAGGACTCACTCCTGAGTCATTTTGTTAATGATAACTTTGTGTCAGTTTGTGTGCAGTAGTTTAAATACTGTAATAACATGTTTATGTCATTGCCCATCATATGATACCCATTTTGTGGTGTGTATTTCATTCTTATTCTAAAATGCAGACAAATGGATGAAAAGCAATTTAAAAGTACTGTGATCATTGTGTAAGCATTCATGCAAGGCAGTGAAAGGCCTATTCTTGTGCATGGGTGTTGGGTATAGTGACGTGTGTCGTGTCTTGAATTAGATTAAAACAGTCAAAATGTCATCTTCCAGTTTTTTAAATATCATTGGCAACAAAGTCGAAGCAAAAAGAATCTCCAAAGCCATGGTAAATAATTTTTTTGCTTAAAGTGTAGGTACCTGTGGACATTTGATATAGTTATTTCATAGTGAGTTAACATTTCTCTTTATTTTTTAAGCAGAGGTTTTCCTGTTGCATGTCATTGGAGCCCTATGTGAAGCAATGGGTGGTCCCACCGATGCTGAGAACCACTCCCTCGCACTGGTCCCCTCCCTCTGCAAACCAGGAGCCCTACCCAGCTCCCTGTCCAACCACTCTGCTCAGCCCAGAGGAGCAGCCACACAGAAAAAAAGTTTTAAATCAACTCAGAGCAGAGGAGGGAGGGAGAGAGGGGGGTGAAAACGCCCTGGAAACTTGGTTGACTGAGAAATAGGAAAAGAGTGTCAGAATCCTAACAGACAGCAAAGTTGTAACTGGAAGAAGTGCTTTTCTTGGGCTGGGGAGAAGTGGAGGGGACACGTTTTCAAGGATGCTCAAGCTGGTGTGAGGCTTCTTGGGCGCAAAGACTGCGCACAGGTAAAGATGTGCTATTTTCCCCTTGCTTAGGTTGTAATGGATGTTTTTTTGAATTGTGTTTCTGAACTTTGTTGCCAGCTTAATTGTGCTGAAGGAATAGCAAATCATTTGTAATAACTTCGCAAAAGTTTGAACAACTAAGTTGCAAAAGTGTCAAAGTTATCTGTCCAACATTCCTGTAATATTCCAATGTTTGTAGTGTAGTGAGTTTCTCCTGCTTTATTACACGTGTTTATTGCCTGTGGTGGGCTATGGTTTAAGGAAAGCTTTGTATGAAGAAAAAACGTGTATTATTACTTCAGTGTTTTTCTGCAAAGGTGTTAAGTGGCAATTTTGTTATACAAATATCATCAAGTAGTGCAGGATATGAGGAGGTGGGTGTGTACCCACAGCTGCCACATGAATGCATGGGACTTGACTGGAGCTGCGCACTTCACTTTTCCTTTAACTGGACACAAAGGTTATTATCCAATGTGCATGTACGTGCTGAATCCATGGTTGTAGAAAGAATATAGGTTATGTTCATTTGATTTTTAGTCCTTTTAGAAATAAGAGGTAACGCCCAAAAGTCCTCTATTTGTTCAGTGCTTTGCCTATTGTGCAACGTGGATGTCCTTTGTATGCACATAATCCCTAGTTTTTGGGATAGCAAATTTGTTTTACAGCACTGGAATATCTCACACAGTAGATGAAAGTTGAATGGAGGAAGTGCTGAAAAGAGTCAGGTTGTTTGTGTAAATGTTATCGTTCAGTTGTATCTCTTATCTGTCCAGCGCCCTTTTATGGAGACCTGGACAAAAAGTAAAGGTTGTTCCCTATGAGAGCCTGCAGTAACAAGTTTGGGTGTGGATTCCTCTCCTTCACCTCCCTCCTCCCCCTCCCTTTTCCCCCTCCCTTCCCTCTTGCTTCACTGTCTCCTTGCAGAGGCACACCCTTTACAGCCATAAAAAAGGAGAAAACTCATACATGCTGCTGTCGTTGCAGTAGGTCCCTATAACCACAATCAAAACTCCTTTATAGAGTATCCGGGCGGTTCCAGTACTGATCAGAACTTTTCCTCTGCCTGTCAACTGTGTTGTAGGGTGCTGTATAATTAGCAGTCATTTGGAACAATGAAAATCTCATGCGCCTTTACAATGCAGTCTGCTGTGGTGAACTTGTCTGACAGTGTTTAATGTGATATAAGTCAGTTCTTGAACACGGCGTACCTCCTTTCCAGCTAGTGTTACTTTAGAGAAAGTTGGAAACTATCACTGCTGCTTTGTACTAAGGCATGTTTCCTGTTAATGACTTAATTTAGTTTTTTTTATTTTTATTTAAGTCTCAGGCAGTGAGAGATTTCTCTTTCTTTCTCTTACCTTGGGTCTCTTAACATGGGCTCCAAGCCAGGGTGTACAGGGGAGGGAGGGACGAAGATGGGGAAAGAGAGTCAGGGAGTGAGTTAGTGAGGGGGGATGGGCGGGGTGGGGGCAAGGACGGGAGTAATGGAATGTAGTGGTTTGGAAAGACAAGCTAATTGAAACCAGGTTTGAGGCATAGAGGGGGAGCTTAGATTTCGCACATTTGGAGAAAGAGAGAAAAGTATTTTATCTGCCCAAAAAGTTGAGAAATATACATTGTCTGTCCAACTTTCGCACATATTGAAATCATAAACGGCATCTTTCCAAGTGTGGTTCAAGCTAGAATCATCACATATAGTCTGGTCTGTGTTTGATATAATGTGTTTGTACAAGTTGAGGAAAAAGCAGATAGAATATCCACACTAGACATAATCCTTCGTTGAATCTCAGTTGAAAGTCAAATTTCTCTGTGTGTAGTTGCCTGTCCTCCACAGCTCCCTCCTGCCACACCCAAAAATCCAAGGGAGAGCTGCTTTTTGCTCCGCTCTGCACAGTCTTTTCTACAATGCGCACTAATATTGAGCGCCCCACAGCTGTAAAATGTCTGGCATTTCTCAAATTGCTCTAGTCAAGGTGATTGATTGTGACACAGGCTTCTTAAAGAATCAAATGTTGAGATGGGGCTGAAAAGTCTTTGGGTAGTGTTGTCATTTAAGCTATAATATGTTTAGTGTTCCTAGCACTTGATATTTTACTCTCTGACAATATGGCACAAATTTTTGTATTACATATGTTACTCTAGGTGCAGAGCTTTGCTGCAAGCAATGGTAGAGTACTTATATAATAAAAATGGAACACATATTTCATGTGGCAAAACGTTCAGAACTGGTTCCTGAATGCCTGCAGCCAAAGTGTTTGTCGGTTAAGAGGGCCTCATCTTAGCCTGGGGCGGATACTGTTTGTCTAAATACTTGCACTCTCCACCAATGCAGCAGTACAGAGGCTACATTATGTTATGTCACCTAACACATTTGGAATCCCAGAAAAAAGTTACACTGTGAAATTTAAAAGTAGCTTTATTGATCAAATCTTGCTCAGTCATCGCAAGGCTGAAGCTGGAAGTGCACAGTGCCACTCACGCTGATATTGTTGCACTTGCCACCCATGTGACAAACAGCATCTTTACTAGCCCAAATAAAAGACATGCTTCTTGACTGTTTGGCGACTTAGCTCAACCATTTTTAGTTATTTATCACAGAGCTCCACCAGAACCACTTTATATTTTTGCCTGGTTGACTGGCAGTACAGGACAGAGGAGTGGTGTTACTTAGCCGTGCCAGTGTTAAACGGAAAGAGACTGGTTTCTAGCACACTTCCTCCGCCATTTCCTCATGGGTTTGTTGAGTGGGTGGTTAGAAGGAGGGACAGCATGGAGAGGTGAGGAAAGGGAGGTGGATGTAGTGAATAAGCTGAAAGAAGGGAGAGGATTGCAGTCAAACTAAAGATTATTTTTTCACACTTGGGCGTCCTCCACCACACTAACTGCAGTACCACCCTGGAGGTTAAATAAAACAATTGCGAATTTGTAAATACACAACTTCTTTAGTGAGGGAAGTTTAGTTTTCCTCCAGCTGCAAATAAACATCTAACTGTAGTGTGCCATTTTAGAAAGTCTTTCTAAGCCACCCAGCTGCCACTCCCTTTTCATCCCTCCACTGCTGGTTTGGGATGTTTCAGCATGTCCTCAGTATGCGCTGGGAAGCACCTATCATTAGCATTGCTTGCCTTGTTGTTGAGACATAGTGATTTGGGAAATACGACGAGACAGTCAAGTCACACTCACAGTAAATTCAGACTTGTTTATTGTAGCTTCGAGCTTGATGGGACTTTTGCCAGAATTGAATTTAAAAAGGTGTGAACATTTTTTCTAATTAACATATCACTTTCACCACTGCTCTGCCAAACATCTGCAACGTGAAAGCATCCAAAAACAATACATCTGGCACAAGTGTAAGCACAGCACAGTCTACCTGCCCCCCCCACTAACCATCTGACTTATACTCCAACCTCCACAAACGTCGTTATGTTGCCTTGCACTAGGAATGACACTGTTACTCCATTTGGAAAGATGCAGACAAAATGTGAGGGAGGCAGGGCTTGAAATGTAAATGTTGAAATACATTCAGCTTTGTTTAGGTTTTCTTTATCTGACACAAGATACTCAGGGATGGCACTCAGCATAATGCAACAGTCTCTCTTGCTCTAAACAACGCTGCTCTACTCTGGTGTGGTCAAAATGCTTTGTATCCTAACACTGCTTCACGTTTTACAGCTAAGGAAGTCTCATGTCCATATATACATTCTGCTGCTATGGTTGCCACACACCCCTCCTCTTAACCTTTTTGTCACCTGCTCCATGAACGGACTTGGTATTTGTTCTTGTTCAAACAGCAGCTGTGAAAGACTAAAACAAACCGTAACCAAGCCAAACTATATTGAGTTAAATTGGTCAGTTGCATGGCATAGGCTATGTAAGGTTGCTATGGATGTCTGTAAACCTCTCATGATCCCTTATTTATGTGGCAGAACTATGTGAACTTCACTCTCCCATTTCTTTCTCTCTGGTGCAACTATTTATGCCAGTTAAAAATATGCATCCTCAACTCAGTTATTCTGCCGCACTACTTCTCTTTCATCATATTTTTTTTTCTTTGTTTGTTGGCTCTGAAACTGCGAATAGGCACCCCCCTAGGATCACTTCTCATTTCGGAGCTACAGTGAAAATGTTTTGTTTCATTTTTGCAAAAATGGTTCTGGAGTTTTCTTATTGACTGATTGATTGAGTCACAGGTCCACAATGGCAACAGTTTGTGATGCAGCCTAAGTTCCTAAGAAGACAAGGAAAAACTCCCCTTACAACCCTTGTGTGTAAGGAACAAAATGGTAGAATCCCCAGGAGAGGAACTACAAAGTGAGATCCTCCCTCCTTGGATATAAAGAGTTTTAATACAGAACAATGAGTAATGACAGGAGCCAGGAGTTAGCTGATATTTACCGCCTCATACGGCATAGAACCTTTCTTTTACTGTCCGTATGTGAACATGAGGCTTAAAAATAATTTACATGAAAATCAAGACATTGTTGAAATGTACTCTCAACGCAACCCCTGGTCTTGTTTGTGATCTCGTACAGACTTTTCTTCAGTTTTTCCACTTTGTGCCTGACTCCTGCCAAAGTCACAATGGTTTAATCAGCACCAGGCCAAGTTGGCGTCAGTGGGCAGGCTTTGGTCTTATGCAGAACTTGTGGTTTGGTTTAGGGCTATGTGGACTGTGGAGTGCAGACAAGAACCATTTATTTTGACGCGCATTCCTTTTATATGTGTCACACATGCAAAGCCTATCTGCGTTTTTTGGGGAAGAGTGAACCTTCACTGGGGCCTATTATGGCTCTTTTTGTATTTGTTGTGCTTGCTGCATCAAACTATAATGGAGTTAAAGGGACAGGAAGTCTATTCTGTTTTGAAAACTTGACTGATTTGGTCACTACTCCTCTTTCTCTCTCTGCACTGAGACCTTTTTATTTGCTCATAATCAAATCTTATCACTCGCCAGCACCTCTGTGCCTGATTCACTTACAAGCTTTAAAGTATGTGCCCTCAAGCACATACCTAGACCTGGGGTGGGGTGGAGATGGATTGCAGTGATGTTTAGAGTTCTGTTTGTTGCATCTATCTGGTGCACAGATGGAGCCAACTAAAATGATGACAGCAATGGTGATATCGTTTATGAAAATGGGATTTGTTCAGCCGATCTTGTGTTGCTTCTCAGCGTTTATTTGAGAGAGTTGTGTTTCAGGGTACCATTAAAATGTGCAGATCTGACTGAATGTGGTGTTCTTGTTTATTTGAGCAGAACCTGGAGGTGGGGGGTGTGGTGTACTGACTGCAGGGTGGTGGGCAACCAGGCAGTGTGCAGGGTGGGCAGCGTAGAATGGAGCTGGAGTCATAGAGAAAGAGGACATTTCTTTGGAGTTATTCACTGAGGGGAGAGGCCGGGCTCCCTTCCAGCTGGCCTGACGGCTCTATCAAGGAATGTGTGTGACTGTAGGCCTGGGTGGGGCAGGGCTGCTTACACAGAGACAAAGCGATGTGATCCGCCTCGTGGACTGTGGCGTGGTGTTTCTACTCTTCAACACAGCGTGTGTTTTTCCGCGCGGTTGCTGACCACGCTTCAACTTACTGTGCATGCCTGTGTGTGTATGTATTTAGAACAGAGGATAGAGTGGCACTTCCTTTTGTTATCTTTTAAGTTTCTGTACTTAGATATGGCCAATGCATGAAAAAATAATTTTTTATTTTTATTTTTATTTTTCCATCATATATCTGGATGTTTTAGCAAATCATCAAAAATCAGAAATAAGCATCTCTTTTAGTCAGAGATCTCATGTACCGTTTTTATAATTTTGTTTTGGGTATCAGTGATCCAGGCAAATTCTATCTCACATTACCTTTAGATTAATACTTTGGTACCTTTGAAAAATGTACCTTTGTCATTCAGTCAGCCCTTCAGATGACTTCCGACATGCCAGTATGATTAATATGTCTCTGTAACAAGAGTATGGGCTAGAGAGTGTACACAGCTGCTGTGGCGCAAGTCACAAATATAATGACAACCACGTACTGGCTGGCATTTATCTCAGCTATGTCCCATCTACTTCAGTGTAGCACCCGTTCAAAAATGCAATCAACAACAGTGGAATGTCAGGCAAAACTTAAAAAAAATGTTTTACAAGCTTTGCTCCAATGTTGCTGATTTTAAGGGGCACGTTTACTCACTTTCTCTCAATTGCATTTAGTGAATAGCACAGGACTGTTTACACAGTCATTTGGCATTATTTTCGCCAAAGTAGTGAGCAATGTTGTTCATTGAACTTGGGTACCGTGGAGGGGAAGGTTAATAATGGGGTTGGAGAGCTTCAGAAGAATTTTTCTGAGGGACATGTTCCCACCGGTAGATGCCTGTCTGCACACACATCAAGTCTGGTTCTGTTTGTACTGGGACTGACAAAGAGAAGGCTTTGTTTCACAATATGCTAGTGGGTTGAAGCAATAATCCTAGTATGTCCTGTAAGATTTTGAGCAAGTTACAGTGGGTAAAAGTAAGATTGACTTGGAATGCCAAATGACACATCCAATTGATGAAACTGGAGGCAGAGGAATTCACAAGCATATTTTAGAGTACATTTCCTTTTAGAATTACTCTCGAACTGGATTTGCTTTATTTCATCTTTCAATTTCAAATTCCATCAAACTGAACTAGATCCTTGATAGATGTAGTGTGTTAGTGTGCAATTCTCTCTTCTCACCTGCAGAAGTGAGGGCCACACCAAACAAGCAGCTGGATTTATGTACTTAAAGGGAGTCTTTTGCATTGTTACTTGCCAGGATCAATACAGATACTATTGGTTGGTTAATTATTAAAGACTCTGAAGGCTCTGATTGGTCATGGAGCGTCCATTTATCATGTACACTAAGATTCTAAGAAATCCTGACACACCTCTTAATGCAACACTAACTGTATGTAAGGAATATGTTACACTGTCTGTCAGTCATTCGACTGAAACATGGTGCGTTACTGCATCAGAGAGCAGTGTGATGAGTTCAGGCTGGGTTTCTTTTGTAACACCATTATAACGACAGAACTTAGTGGCAGGAGTCTTATTGTTCTTGTCATTTAAGTCTTTTTTTAAGCATATCATGTAAATCCCAATCCTGTTTTTGGTTTTCTGTCAACAGAAGTCAAGAATACAAGTACCAGAGCATCAGATTGAAGCCCTTGGCCTTGCTTGAGCAATCCAAGGTACGTGTCCTTACATACTGCAAGAGATGCTCAAAGCACATGTGTTACTGGTTAAGTAAAGAAAGAAAACTAAAGTTCTTATTATCTATCACTCCACTCCAAGGCCATTCTGTCAGTGTCACTTTACAACAGCGTTATATTATGCCGCCAGACGCCAAACCTCTGTTGGAATGTTTGTTGCAAAGCATCCTTTGAACCTAAAGGGTCATGCCGCTGCCATTCAGCTGTGAAAGGCCTGCCTTGTGGAAACCTGACACTTGGCTGCTTCTGCTCCCTGTGCCTCCTCTTTGCCCCCCTCCTTTATCCCCCCAGACACCACCTGTTCCGCTTGAACCCCTTTCCCCTATCTTATGAAACAACCCTGTCAAAGAGCCTGACAAGCTCACACTGTTTTAACTGTTTGTCGTCGGCAGCTGTGGATGATTTAGTCATCATGAATGGAGGGAAAGTTAGCGAAAGCTGCAATACCAAACCCAAACAGTATGCAGGCCAATGGCAGGCCGTAAGAGAGGCGTATCCTGAAAAGCTCTGTGGTTGCACTCTAGTTAACAGAAGCTTTTGTCTGGCTGGCTGTCCCGACGTCCCCCCTTGCTCAACATACCAGGCCATAATAAAACATGACAGATAAACAAGCTCATCTGTTTCCCTTTGCCCTCACTCCCTCTGTGGTTCCCGTCAATGCTTCTTGTAAAAGTCGCATTTTGTATGTGAAAGCTTTTGATAACATCACTAATCACATTTAAGGAAATGTGACATCAGGTATATCACTCATAGGCATGTGGCAAAGAAAAGACGAATGGTTGAGTGTCATGTTGCCTGACTGCTTTGAGCCACAGACTGCCTGCCTGTCTTATGATCCCAAGAACAGAGCCTTACTTATTAAGCATCTGTTTACAACACAATCCATATCTAATCATATGATCTACAAGTTAATTGTTCCTCTGTGCTCTATTTTTAAAAGACGTTATGCTATGTTAGGGAGGGGGGATTCTTGTTCTTGAGGCTGAATTTGAAGAAGAATGAAGACAGAGTGAAGTCTGTAAATATTCTGTATGTCCTTTGCACAGTGTATTTGTATGCTGAGGAGACACTGATATGTTCATTTGTACTTGCCTGTTTTCTTCCCCCTCCTACTGTTAACTTGTAGGCTAACATTCCAGAGAGCAGTTTCCCTACCATTCCTCTCCCTTTTCCACTTGCTATCTTGTTCACTTTCTTTTTTTTTTTTTTTTTTACCATTTCCTCTTCTCTCCATCTCCCTCCCTCTTTCTTAGTTCCTTCCTTCCCTCCTATATTGCTGCGAGCCTCAGCTCCTCCCTGCAGCTTGCTGCCAGGAATATGTCAAAGCTGTGAGAACAAGGATAGTTCACTCGCGATCATGGAGAGACTCAGAGTGAGGGTAAAACGTGGGAGGAGGAGAAGAAGGCTAAATATGAAAGGAAAAAGTTTTTAAATAGATGATAGGGAGGGAAAACAAAGAATGAGAGAAAGTAAGCACGTTGTGTCCTGAGGTTGTCCTTTTGAGATTGACATGGAGAAATTAATAAGAATATCTTTTTCTCCACCTTGCTGTTGGGGAATGTTTGTGCACACATAGATGTTGCCTTTCCCTTCCTCTGTAAGCTTGTTTTTCCCCTCTAAAAACATAATTCAACCAACTGCCTTGTTTGAGAGTTAAAGAGCTTCATAATCACTATCACCCCTCTCAAACACTGAATAGTTCTATGCAATGTCAGTAAGCCCTGAGAAGCATGTGGAAGAAAAATAGTTAGGCAACGAAGATCATGTGAAAGGTTTGCCAGCTATTTTGGTCTGTTCTCAGTGACTGAATCAAGAGAGGAGGTGGATTTGTAAAATGAGCCACATTGTAACCCATGGGGAAAACACATTCTTCTGGTTCAGTCCAAATTCTCTTGAGGCTGGGATCAGAAGGGTCTGGTTAAGATACTATAACTGGCAGTGTCAGTTGACCTGAGTGGAATTTGATGTACATGAGTTAATTGGGTAAGGCTGGGTCTTTGGCACTGCAAAATGCTTTTTTTGCCCCCTCCATACTCACAAATTTCAGTCGTGTTTATGCATGTAATGTTGCGGATACTGAAAGGCTTGAGGTTTCCATAGATTCATATTACTAGCTTCAGTCAAGTCACACTGACAGACAATGAGAAATGAGAAAGAAGGAGAAGGAAAGAGAGAGGGAGAGGGGGAGAAGATCAAGTTGTAGATGCCTGCGAGTGGTTGGTGTCATTGTTGGTAGAAACAATATCCCTATCTCTGGTATTATCACTCTCAGTGGCCCTGGTCATTGTTATTCAGTTCTGAGAGTCTGCTAAAGGCTATTTTAGAGAGAGGGCTTAATATGACCTCAAAGTAATTTACAGTATTCCCAATAATGCAGGACCAGTTTATTTACTGACTTGAGTTAATTGGTATGTTGCTTGCTGTGTGTACTTGGACAGGGTCCAACTAGGGAGACCAGTTTCAAATCACTTAGCATTCCAAACTGTCTGTTTAATAATGCTTTCTCACTCCCCTAACTTTCATGAAAAGTCTGCTCTACTAATGGTTGATATACAATTATATCAGGAGAACAGGCCTCTATCTCACACACACATACATAAAGAAAGAGCTACATGCCCTACATGCACTAGATTTACAGCGTATTGTTTGACGTCCTAATGACAAAAAAATGACAAGGTTAAAAAAGACAAAACTAATGTTTTATTAGTTTTGTCTTTTTTAACCTTGTCATTTTTTTCTAGAACTGTATATCGGCAGTGTGGCAAGAGTGGCAGATGGCCGTTGATCAAGTGATGCTTGTTACAGATCCTTTTGAAACAGCTGTTTCTTTATCTTTCCCTCAGGTTCCTCTTGTTCCCAGCAGCGTGTTATCTTGCAGAACAGTGTGGCAGCTTTAGTGAATGGGGAAGGGATCTGTGGCTTACTGGTGTGGTTATTTACAGTGGTGCCAAAACTGTGTAGAAAAAAGTCTTTATTCAGACCTTGAATTGGTGTTTGTGATAACATGGGAATCCAGTTTTACAGCTACAGTCCCAACAGTGCATTCTTCCTCCCGACTGACTTCTTGATTTGACTGTGTTAAAGGCTAGGTGAGAAGTTTTTTATGAGTTGTCTTATCTTGTTATATATTCAAGTGTATGTGAATTAAACGATCACCCACAGCCTGTTATGTATTATCTGACTACATGTCATCACCTTAAATAATAGTCTTAGAGGAGGCCTACTTCTCTCAGGGTGAAGATAGAGCCAAGGCAAGCCAAGTGAATGGAAACAGATCACACAGACAAAAGAAAACCACTTGTAGAGCAAGTGAGAAAAGACATAATTGTCCCCAACAGCCCCCCCCCTCCAGAGCAGCTGGTCACCCAGAAATTGTATTATGCATTTCTCTGAATAGGTAGGGAGCAGAGTGATACAACTAGTAAAGTAAAGTCCTTCCCAAGTTGTTCTCTGCTTGTCAAGCCCACCCCATAAAAACAAACCACAGGCAACCAGTACCACTATGACTCATTTCATTTCTTTTGTGCCATCCTGTGGATATATCATATTATATTTAATTTGCTGAAACCCACTGAATGACCTTGCCTTTTTAAATGAAATACTTTACAGCCACAGTCTGTGTTGTTTTGGATAGCTTTTTCTAATACAGTTCCACTAATTATTATCTAGATTCTGTGTAGTCACTGGGCCCCTGGAAACTGAATTACTGGTTCATGAATAAAACTATTAAATGGCTGGGCAGCTATAGTACAGGTGGTAGAAAGGGTAGTCTGTTAATGTTAAGACTGGTGACTTTACATACACAAAGTATCTTTGAGTAAGACACTGAACCCCAAATCCCTCTTGATGTGTGTATGTCAAGGAAAAATGTCACTTTTGGATAGAAGTGCATGTTATGTAAAAACATGCAAACCACTGCTGGCTAGCTGGAGACACATGGCTCAGACAGCTTTGTGTAATTGAAGGTGTGGGTTGTGGAGAGTTTGGTATTAATGAAACAATGGTTGTCTGTTCCAAAGAGGAGAGTGGGTAGGGCTTGTCAACATGTTTGAAGAGGGAGTAAAATAGATAGAAAAGCTAAGCATGACTGTAAATTGGTTTGGTATGAGTTTACAGAATGATATTGAATTGTTTCATTGTTTGCTTATTGAAAGGGATTTTGTATTATGGCAAGCAATATTTAGTCTGAAGTCTAATGACCACATGCAATAAGTAACACAAAATGTGCTTTTGTACTGCTCAGTGCACCTTAAGGTGATCATCAATACAGTTACAACAAGTCAACCTAGACTGAAACTAGCTTTCAATTATGAACAGATCATGTGCAATGTGTGTGTGTGAGAATATACAAATGTGTAATTGTTTTAGTATTTTACTACTGTTTGTGGATGTGTATTAAAGAGAGAGGGTGTTCACCAACATGTTGGTGTATGTGTTAATGTGCATTTCTGCACCTCTATGTGTTTTTATAAGGCAAGGCCATACAAAGCTATAACCGTCATTGTTCTGTCTATTGACACTGGAGCTGGGGTGTAGGCACAGGATTAGGCAGCTTTCCTCAGGGCAGGGTGTGGTCCAACTTCAACCATATTTCCAAAATACATAAGGGGAAGGGAAATAAAATTTGGTGTTTTGGTGTTGTCTGAAAGGATTTTATCACCACCTAGTGTTCACCATTGGGTCTTACAAGCCAGACCATCTTGCAGAGCAGGGTTGGTAAATGCTTATTTCAGGCAATATAGGATTTGTTTTAAGGGTGAAAGAAGAATTTTGTCTTAAATAATGTGCAAATACATTGTATTAATGGTTATTATTATCTTTTTATACAGGAAAACCCAGATACAGTTTCCATCACACCAGAGGAAATAAATAGAGGAAATCAAAAACAAGGTATTTTATAAAGTTTTAAGCTTTCTACATGCGCTTTCTGTACTTTCTACATGCACACTTATACATTAAGTTCTTGCCATCTACATTTTTTGTTTCTCTTGAACCAATTATTTACATGGTTATGCTTACAGATGGCTGAAGAGGAGGAAACCAGGGAGGTGCTCTTTCCAGATTGGGAGGGTCCAGACAAAACTGGATTGACCATTGAACAGACAGGAGGAGAGATCTTTGTGAAGGAGGTGAAAGGAGAGTCACCTGCAGCACGGTCTGGAAAAGTATATCAAGGTAGCAAATTCCTATTTTTTATTTTTTTTTTAAATCATCTGGTATGGAGTAAGATTTGTCTCACCTGCATGCTGACTAATTTCTAGTATTCTTAATAGACTTTTTTGCTGCTTACTCTGCTTAATTCATAGGTGACCAGATTGTAGGCGCCACTGTCTACTTTGATAACATGAGCTCAGAAGAAACAGCTGAGCTACTGAAGACATTAAACCGGCACAAGGTTGGACTGAAATTACAAAACAAAGGAGATAAATCCCCTTACTGCTCGCCCTTGAGCACACCATGTCGTTCACCAATGGGAACCCTGACATGGGAAGGGAAGACCCGGTTTGGAGGTTCCAGTCCAGACATCATCCTTGTAAGTTCTTTTTAAAAATTATATGACTCCTGATTTGTTTGTGGGGAAGCAACTGTACAAAATACATGATATAATAACATTTCCATGTTGTATGCCTTCCTGTCTTTTTCTATCAACAGAGTGGGGATGATGATGACTATAAAAGAATATACACAAAAAAGATTAAACCAAGACTGAAGTCTGAAGACCTTGCAGAGGGAGTAGATGTTCGCACGGAGCGGCACAGCAGCACAAGCAGCGATGGCAGCACAATTACTACCATCACCCGCCGCATCACTACCTACACTGTGGATATGCCAGGTGGCATAAGTGAGCAACTTGAACTTTCAAGCCCAGAGTTCAAGGGGCTTAGGCACGAATCTGGAGATGGCTCTCCTCATATCAGAATCTCACATGGCAGCCCTTCAGGTAAAGTGGGAGCAGAAGAGGGAGTTTTTGAGTCAAGCAATGTCTCTTACACTGGGCCCCAAGTTAGTTCCACAGAGACACGCTGGGGCAGTGGGGGAGTTCAGACGACAACAATTATAAGAGAGGGAGAAAGAGAAAGAGTTACAGGTCTCAAATTTAAAGGGCCTAATTTAGGAGTAGCAGGGGGTAAAGGCCAGGGAGGCTTTGAGATCTCAAGAGGGAGTGGAGAGCAGGGAGATGGAAGCATTCAGGTGTCAGAAACAAGCACGACATTAAGAGACAGCACAAACACTGGTAGTAGGCATATTACATTTGGAGGGTTGGGAAATGCAGAGGTAACCTCAACTGATGAGAATGGAGGGTCAGTTAGTCTGTTTTTACCAGGAAAAAGCATGCATATTTTGACTTCAACCACAGATAAAACACAGAAGGGAAGTATTGATTTAGGTGAGAGGACAAAGGTGAAAGTATCTGAAACTACCATCGGTCACCCGCAGGCAAAGGGATCAGATAGTATTGGTATGTCGAATGTAAGACTTGGTGGAGGTCACATAGGTACTGATACTGAATTGAGAGGTGGCAGGATAGGAGGATCAGCAATAACAGTAGGCAGTGTTACCTCAGGTTATTCCTCAGGGCCAGGCAAGATTTCAGTGGCAGGTGTAGATGTCAATCTTACAGGTTCAAAGTTGAAAGGTGAGGTTGACCTGCCAAGCACAATGGGAGGAATAAAAGCATCTGGTATAGACACTGATGTTCCAGGCTATGAAACTGAGGGAAGTGTGAGTGGCATAAAAACGTCAACCATCAAGATGCCCGTGTTTGGAATGAAAGAAATCAAGAAAGAGGGAACTAGTGTTGAAGTTAAACTAAGTGGTGATGCGGATATGTCAGTACCTGTAACACATGAAGAGGTGCAAAAACCAGAACTAGACATCAAACGGACAGATATACAGATCAAAGGTCCTAGTGCTAACATTGCAGGGTCAGTTGGCAATGTACATGACATTAAAGGTCCCACTATAAATATTGAGGGGAAAGAAGGCGATTTAAAAATGCCTCAGATAAAGACACTATCATTTGGGTCCACAGGACCAAAGGTTGCTGTTAAAGCTCCTGAGGTTGACATTAAAGCACCAAAAGGTGATAGTGGGGGCTCTGATGTAAAAACTGAAAGTCTGAAATTCAAGATGGGTTCCAAAACAGGACCTACAATGCCAGAATGGGATATAAGTCTGAAAGAAACTAAACGGGATGTGGATGTGTCAGTTCCAAAGATTGAGGGAGACACAACAAAACCTGCAGTTGAGATCAAAGGATCAGCAGTTGACATCGAAAAACATAAAGGTGGATTTGAGATGCCTAAACTCAAAATGCCATCATTTGGCTTTACAGGTCCTAAGGCGGAAGCTACAGATGTTGATATAAAAGTTACAAAAGCGGAAATTGATGTCAAGGCACCTGAGGTTCATGTTAAAGCATCCAAAGTTAATGTTGAAAGCCCAGATGTAGACATAGACGCTCCCAAGGTGGACATTGACATTGAGGGACCTGAAGGTGGCTTTAACCAGCCAAAATCTACAATGAAATCCACTGGCCTGAAAGGTCCGAAGCTTGAAGGAGGTGTGACTGTATCTGTACCAAAGATTAAGGGAGACATAAAAGCACCTGGAATTGACATCAAAGGTCCACAAATTGATATTACAGGGACAAATGGTGGTGTTGAAATTCCAAAAATCAAAATTCCTGAAGTGGAGCATGAAGTACCAGATGTTGACATTGAGGGACATAAAAGTGGATTTAAAATACCTAAAGTAAAAATTCCATCATTTGGAATTAAAGGTCCAAAAGTGGAGGGGCCAGAAGTCAACGTTGTTTGTCCAAAAGCTGACATGAATGTGAACGCTCCTGAAGTGGACATTGAGGGCAGTGGTAATATGAAAGGATCAAAATTCAAAGTGCCATCACTTTCAGGACAGAAAATCTCCATGCCAGATGTGGATTTACATGTCAAAGGGCCCAAACTCAAAGGTGATGTGGATGTGTCAGGGCCAAAGATTGAAGGGGACATAAAAACACTTGATGTTGATGTTAAAGTTCCGGAGGTGGATATAGAGGGTCCAAAAGGTGAATTTGAAATGCCGAAAATCAAAATGCCATCATTTGGCTTCAAAGGTCCAAAAGGGGAGGGTCCAGATGTTGATATAAACCTTCCCAAAGGAAACATTGACATGAAAGCCCCTGCTGTTGACATTAAAGGGCCAGAGGTTGACATAGAAGGACCGGATGCAAAACTGAAAGGAACCAAATTCAGCATGCCAACAATTTCAGGACCGAAACTTTCCATGCCAGATGTGGATTTTAATTTGAAAGGTCCAAAACTCAAAGGTAATGTGGATATGTCAGCGCCAAAGATCAAAGGAGACGTTAAAACGCCTGAGTTTGACATCAAAGGTCCACAGGTTGATATTGAAGGTCCAAAAGGTGGATTTGAAATGCCTAAAATCAAAATGCCATCATTTGGCTTTAAAGGTCCAAAAGTGGAGGGTCCAGATGTTGATATAAACCTTCCCAAAGCAAAAATTGACGTGAAAGCACCTGCTGTTGACATTAAAGGGCCAGAGGTGGACATCGAAGGCCCAGATGCAAAGCTCAAAGGAACCAAATTCAGCATGCCAACCATTACAGGACCAAAACCTTCCATGCCAGATGTGGATTTAAAACTGAAAGGTCCCAAACTCAAAGGTGATGTGGATATGTCAGCGCCAAAGATCGAAGGAGACATTAAAACACCTGAGTTTGACATCAAAGGTCCACAGGTTGATATTGAAGGTCCGAAAGGTGGATTTGAAATGCCTAAAATCAAAATGCCATCATTTGGCTTTAAAGGTCCAAAAGTGGAGGGTCCAGATGTTGATATAAACCTTCCCAAAACAAACATTGACGTGAAAGCACCTGCTGTTGACATTAAAGGGCCAGAGGTGGACATCGAAGGCCCAGATGCAAAGCTCAAAGGAACCAAATTCAGCATGCCAACCATTACAGGACCAAAACCTTCTATGCCAGATGTGGATTTAAAACTGAGAGGTCCCAAACTCAAAGGTGATGTGGACATGTCAGCGCCAAAGATCGAAGGAGACATTAAAACACCTGAGTTTGACATCAAAGGTCCACAGGTTGATATTGAAGGTCCGAAAGGTGGATTTGAAATGCCTAAAATCAAAATGCCATCATTTGGCTTTAAAGGTCCAAAAGTGGAGGGTCCAGATGTTGATATAAACCTTCCCAAAACAAACATTGACGTGAAAGCACCTGCTGTTGACATTAAAGGACCAGAGGTGGACATCGACGGGCCGGATGCAAAGCTAAAAGGACCCAAATTCAGCATGCCAACCATTTCAGGACCAAAACTTTCCATGCCTGATGTGGATTTCAAGCTGAAAGGTCCCAAACTCAAAGGTGATGTGGATATGTCAGCGCCAAAGATCGAAGGAGACATTAAAACACCTGAGTTTGACATCAAAGGTCCACAGGTTGATATTGAAGGTCCGAAAGGTGGATTTGAAATGCCTAAAATCAAAATGCCATCATTTGGCTTTAAAGGTCCAAAAGTGGAGGGTCCAGATGTTGATATAAACCTTCCCAAAACAAACATTGACGTGAAAGCACCTGCTGTTGACATTAAAGGACCAGAGGTGGACATCGACGGGCCGGATGCAAAGCTAAAAGGACCCAAATTCAGCATGCCAACCATTTCAGGACCAAAACTTTCCATGCCTGATGTGGATTTCAAGCTGAAAGGTCCCAAACTCAAAGGTGATGTAGATATGTCAGCGCCAAAGATCGAAAGAGACATTAAAACACCTGAGTTTGACATCAAAGGTCCACAGGTTGATATTGAAGGTCCGAAAGGTGGATTTGAAATGCCTAAAATCAAAATGCCATCATTTGGCTTTAAAGGTCCAAAAGTGGAGGGTCCAGATGTTGATATAAACCTTCCCAAAACAAACATTGACGTGAAAGCACCTGCTGTTGACATTAAAGGGCCAGAGGTAGACATTGAAGGCCCAGATGCAAAGCTCAAAGGAACCAAATTCAGCATGCCAACCATTACAGGACCAAAACTTTCCATGCCAGATGTGGATTTAAAACTGAAAGGTCCCAAAATCAAAGGTGATGTGGATATGTCAGCGCCAAAGATCGAAGGAGACATTAAAACACCTGAGTTTGACATCAAAGGTCCACAGGTTGATATTGAAGGTCCGAAAGGTGGATTTGAACTGCCTAAAATCAAAATGCCATCATTTGGCTTTAAAGGTCCAAAAGTGGAGGGTCCAGATGTTGATATAAACCTTCCAAAAGCAAACATTGACGTGAAAGCACCTGCTGTTGACATTAAAGGGCCAGAAGTTGACATAGAAGGACCGGATGCAAAACTAAAAGGACCCAAATTCAGCATGCCAACCATTTCAGGACCAAAACTTTCCATGCCAGATGTGGATTTCAATTTGAAAGGTCCCAAACTCAAAGGTGATGTGGATATGTCAGCGCCAAAGATCGAAGGAGACGTTAAAACACCGAAGGTTGACATGAAAGGTCCAGAGGCTGATATTAAAGGGCCAAAGGGTGGATTTGAAATGCCTAACATCAAAATGCCATCCATTTCAGGACCCAAGATGCCAGATTGGGATATTAATTTGAAAGGACCCAAAATAAAGGGAGATGTCGACTTATCAGCTCAAAAGATTGAGGGTGACATAAAAGCTCCCAAGGTTGACATTGAAGGACCTGATGTTGACATCGAGGGCCACAAAGGAGGATTTAAAATGCCTAAATTTAAAATGCCATCCTTTGGGCTGAAAGGCCCAAACGTTGAAGGGCCAGATGTTGATGTCAGCATGCCGAAAGCTGATATTGATATCAAAGCACCTGATGTTAACATTACAGGACCAGAGGTTGACATAGAAGGACCGGATGCAAAACTGAAAGGACCCAAATTCAGCATGCCAACAATTTCAGGACCAAAACTTTCCATGCCAGATGTGGATTTCAAACTGAAAGGTCCCAAACTCAAAGGTGATGTAGATATGTCAGTGCCAAAGATAGAGGGAGACATTAAAACACCGAAGGTTGACATTAAAGGTCCAGAGGCTGATATTAAAGGGCCAAAGGGTGGATTTGAAATGCCTAATATCAAAATGCCATCAATATCAGGACCCAAGATGCCAGATTGGGATATTAATCTGAAAGGACCCAAAATAAAGGGAGATGTCGACGTGTCGGTTCCAAAGATTGAGGGTGACATAAAAGCTCCCAAGGTTGACATTGAAGGACCTGATGTTGACATCGAGGGCCACAAAGGAGGATTTAAAATGCCTAAATTTAAAATGCCATCCTTCGGGTTGAAAGGTCCAAATCTCGAAGGGCCAGAAGTTGATGTCAGCATGCCGAAAGCTGATATTGATATTAAAGCACCTGATGTTAACATTACAGGACCAGAGGTTGACATAGAAGGACCGGATGCAAAACTGAAAGGACCCAAATTCAGCATGCCAACAATTTCAGGACCAAAACTTTCCATGCCAGATGTGGATTTCAAACTGAAAGGTCCCAAACTCAAAGGTGATGTAGATATGTCAGTGCCAAAGATAGAGGGAGACATTAAAACACCGAAGGTTGACATTAAAGGTCCAGAGGCTGATATTAAAGGGCCAAAGGGTGGATTTGAAATGCCTAACATCAAAATGCCATCAATATCAGGACCCAAGATGCCAGATTGGGATATTAATCTGAAAGGACCCAAAATAAAGGGAGATGTCGACGTGTCGGTTCCAAAGATAGAGGGTGACATAAAAGCTCCCAAGGTCAATATTGAAGGACCAGATGTTGACATTGAGGGCCACAAAGGAGGATTTAAAATGCCTAAATTTAAAATGCCATCCTTCGGGGTGAAAGGTCCAAATCTCGAAGGGCCAGAAGTGGATGTCAGCATGCCGAAAGCTGATATTGATATTAAAGCACCTGATGTTGACATTAAAGGACCAGAGGTTGACATAGAAGGACCAGATGCAAAACTGAAAGGACCCAAATTCAGCATGCCAACAATTTCAGGACCAAAACTTTCCATGCCAGATGTGGATTTCAAACTGAAAGGTCCCAAACTCAAAGGTGATGTGGATATGTCAGCGCCAAAGATCGAAGGAGACATTAAAACACCGAAGGTTGACATTAAAGGTCCAGAGGCTGATATTAAAGGGCCAAAGGGTGGATTTGAAATGCCTAACATCAAAATGCCATCAATATCAGGACCCAAGATGCCAGATTGGGATATTAATCTGAAAGGACCCAAAATAAAGGGAGATGTTGACATGTCAGTTCCAAAGATTGAGGGTGACATAAAAGCTCCCAAGGTCGAAATTGAAGGACCAGATGTTGACATCGAGGGCCACAAAGGAGGATTTAAAATGCCTAAATTTAAAATGCCATCCTTTGGGCTGAAAGGCCCAAACGTTGAAGGGCCAGATGTTGATGTCAGCCTCCCAAAAGCTGATATTGATATTAAAGCCCCTGAAATGGAAATCAAAGGACCAGAAATGGACATTGACAGTCCAAGTGGAAAAATCAAAGGACCCAAATTCAGCATGCCAACCATTTCAGGACCAAAACTTTCCATGCCAGATGTGGATTTCAATTTGAAAGGTCCCAAACTCAAAGGTGATGTGGATATGTCAGCGCCAAAGATCAAAGGAGACATTAAAACACCGAAGGTTGACATTAAAGGTCCAGAGGCTGATATTAAAGGGCCAAAGGGTGGATTTGAAATGCCTAATATCAAAATGCCATCAATATCAGGACCCAAGATGCCAGATTGGGATATTAATCTGAAAGGACCCAAAATAAAGGGAGATGTCGACGTGTCAGTTCCAAAGATAGAGGGTGACATAAAAGCTCCCAAGGTCGATATTGAAGGACCAGATGTTGACATCGAGGGCCACAAAGGAGGATTTAAAATGCCTAAATTTAAAATGCCATCCTTTGGGCTGAAAGGCCCAAACGTTGAAGGGCCAGATGTTGATGTCAGCCTCCCAAAAGCTGATATTGATATTAAAGCCCCTGAAATGGAAATCAAAGGACCAGAAATTGACATTGACAGTCCAAGTGGAAAAATCAAAGGACCCAAATTCAGCATGCCAACGATTTCAGGACCAAAACTTTCCATGCCAGATGTGGATTTCAATTTGAAAGGTCCCAAACTCAAAGGTGATGTAGATATGTCAGCGCCAAAGATCAAAGGAGACATTAAAACACCGAAGGTTGACATTAAAGGTCCAGAGGCTGATATTAAAGGGCCAAAGGGTGGATTTGACATGCCTAATATCAAAATGCCATCAATATCAGGACCCAAGATGCCAGATTGGGATATTAATCTGAAAGGACCCAAAATAAAGGGAGATGTCGACGTGTCAGTTCCAAAGATAGAGGGTGACATAAAAGCTCCCAAGGTTGATATTGAAGGACCAGATGTTGACATTGAGGGCCACAAAGGAGGATTTAAAATGCCTAAATTTAAAATGCCATCCTTTGGGATGAAAGGTCCACATCTCGAAGGGCCAGAAGTTGATGTCAGCCTCCCAAAAGCTGATATTGATATTAAAGCCCCTGAAATGGAAATCAAAGGACCAGATATTGACATTGACAGTCCAAGTGGAAAAATCAAAGGACCCAAATTCAGCATGCCAACAATTTCAGGACCGAAACTTTCCATGCCAGATGTGGATTTCAAGCTGAAAGGTCCCAAACTCAAAGGTGATGTGGATATGTCAGCGCCAAAGATCGAAGGAGACGTTAAAACACCGAAGGTTGACATTAAAGGTCCAGAGGCCGATATTAAAGGGCCAAAGGGTGGATTTGAAATGCCTAACATCAAAATGCCATCAATATCAGGACCCAAGATGCCAGACTGGGATATTAATCTGAAAGGACCCAAAATAAAGGGAGATGTCGACGTGTCAGTTCCAAAGATAGAGGGTGACATAAAAGCTCCCAAGGTCGATATTGAAGGACCAGATGTTGACATCGAGGGCCACAAAGGAGGATTTAAAATGCCTAAATTTAAAATGCCATCCTTTGGGCTGAAAGGCCCAAACGTTGAAGGGCCAGAAGTTGATGTCAGCATGCCGAAAGCTGATATTGATATCAAAGCACCTGATGTTGACATTAAAGGACCAGAGGTTGACATAGAAGGACCGGACGCAAAACTGAAAGGACCCAAATTCAGCATGCCAACCATTTCAGGACCAAAACTTTCCATGCCAGATGTGGATTTCAAACTGAAAGGTCCCAAACTCAAAGGTGATGTGGATATGTCAGTACCAAAGATCGAAGGAGACGTTAAAACACCGAAGGTTGACGTTAAAGGTCCAGAGGCTGATATTAAAGGGCCAAAGGGTGGATTTGAAATGCCTAACATCAAAATGCCATCAATATCAGGACCCAAGATGCCAGATTGGGATATTAATCTGAAAGGACCCAAAATAAAGGGAGATGTCGACGTGTCAGTTCCAGAGATTGAGGGTGACATAAAAGCTCCCAAGGTCGATATTGAAGGACCAGATGTTAACATCGAGGGCCACAAAGGAGGATTTAAAATGCCTAAATTTAAAATGCCATCCTTTGGGCTGAAAGGCCCAAACGTTGAAGGGCCAGATGTTGATGTCAGCCTCCCAAAAGCTGATATTGATATTAAAGCCCCTGAAATGGAAATCAAAGGACCAGATATTGACATTGACAGTCCAAGTGGAAAAATCAAAGGACCCAAATTCAGCATGCCAACCATTTCAGGACCGAAACTTTCCATGCCAGATGTGGATTTCAAGCTGAAAGGTCCCAAACTCAAAGGTGATGTGGATATGTCAGTGCCAAAGATCGAAGGAGACATTAAAACACCGAAGGTTGACATTAAAGGTCCAGAGGCTGATATTAAAGGGCCAAAGGGTGGATTTGAAATGCCTAACATCAAAATGCCATCAATTTCAGGACCCAAGATGCCAGATTGGGATATTAATCTGAAAGGACCCAAAATAAAGGGAGATGTCGACGTGTCAGTTCCAAAGATAGAGGGTGACATAAAAGCTCCCAAGGTCGATATTGAAGGACCAGATGTTGACATCGAGGGCCACAAAGGAGGATTTAAAATGCCTAAATTTAAAATGCCATCCTTCGGAGTGAAAGGTCCAAATATTGAAGGGCCAGAAGTTGACGTCAGCATGCCGAAAGCTGATATTGATATTAAAGCACCTGATGTTGACATTAAAGGACCAGAGGTTGACATAGAAGGACCGGATGCAAAACTAAAAGGACCCAAATTCAGCATGCCAACAATTTCAGGACCAAAACTTTCCATGCCTGATGTGGATTTCAAGCTGAAAGGTCCCAAACTCAAAGGTGATGTGGATATGTCAGCGCCAAAGATCGAAGGAGACATTAAAGGTCCAGAGGCTGATATTAAAGGGCCAAAGGGTGGATTTGAAATGCCTAACATCAAAATGCCATCAATTTCAGGACCCAAGATGCCAGATTGGGATATTAATCTGAAAGGACCCAAAATAAAGGGAGATGTCGACGTGTCAGTTCCAAAGATTGAGGGTGACATAAAAGCTCCCAAGGTCGATATTGAAGGACCAGATGTTGACATCGAGGGCCACAAAGGAGGATTTAAAATGCCTAAATTTAAAATGCCATCCTTTGGGATGAAAGGTCCAAATCTCGAAGGGCCAGATGTTGATGTCAGCCTCCCAAAAGCTGATATTGATATTAAAGTCCCTGACATGGAAATCAAAGGACCAGAAATTGACATTGACAGTCCAAGTGGAAAAATCAAAGGACCCAAATTCAACATGCCAACTATTTCAGGACCAAAACTTTCCATGCCAGATGTGGATTTCAATTTGAAAGGTCCCAAACTCAAAGGTGATGTGGATATGTCAGCGCCAAAGATCGAAGGAGACATTAAAACACCAAAGGTTGACATTAAAGGTCCAGAGGCTGATATTAAAGGGCCAAAGGGTGGATTTGAAATGCCTAACATCAAAATGCCATCAATATCAGGACCCAAGATGCCAGATTGGGATATTAATCTGAAAGGACCCAAAATAAAGGGAGATGTCGACGTGTCAGTTCCAAAGATAGAGGGTGACATAAAAGCTCCCAAGGTCGATATTGAAGGACCAGATGTTGACATCGAGGGCCACAAAGGAGGATTTAAAATGCCTAAATTTAAAATGCCATCCTTTGGGCTGAAAGGCCCAAACGTTGAAGGGCCAGATGTTGATGTCAGCCTCCCAAAAGCTGATATTGATATTAAAGCCCCTGAAATGGAAATCAAAGGACCAGAAATTGACATTGACAGTCCAAGTGGAAAAATCAAAGGACCCAAATTCAGCATGCCAACGATTTCAGGACCAAAACTTTCCATGCCAGATGTGGATTTCAATTTGAAAGGTCCCAAACTCAAAGGTGATGTAGATATGTCAGCGCCAAAGATCAAAGGAGACATTAAAACACCGAAGGTTGACATTAAAGGTCCAGAGGCTGATATTAAAGGGCCAAAGGGTGGATTTGACATGCCTAATATCAAAATGCCATCAATATCAGGACCCAAGATGCCAGATTGGGATATTAATCTGAAAGGACCCAAAATAAAGGGAGATGTCGACGTGTCAGTTCCAAAGATAGAGGGTGACATAAAAGCTCCCAAGGTTGATATTGAAGGACCAGATGTTGACATTGAGGGCCACAAAGGAGGATTTAAAATGCCTAAATTTAAAATGCCATCCTTTGGGATGAAAGGTCCACATCTCGAAGGGCCAGAAGTTGATGTCAGCCTCCCAAAAGCTGATATTGATATTAAAGCCCCTGAAATGGAAATCAAAGGACCAGATATTGACATTGACAGTCCAAGTGGAAAAATCAAAGGACCCAAATTCAGCATGCCAACAATTTCAGGACCGAAACTTTCCATGCCAGATGTGGATTTCAAGCTGAAAGGTCCCAAACTCAAAGGTGATGTGGATATGTCAGCGCCAAAGATCGAAGGAGACGTTAAAACACCGAAGGTTGACATTAAAGGTCCAGAGGCCGATATTAAAGGGCCAAAGGGTGGATTTGAAATGCCTAACATCAAAATGCCATCAATATCAGGACCCAAGATGCCAGACTGGGATATTAATCTGAAAGGACCCAAAATAAAGGGAGATGTCGACGTGTCAGTTCCAAAGATAGAGGGTGACATAAAAGCTCCCAAGGTCGATATTGAAGGACCAGATGTTGACATCGAGGGCCACAAAGGAGGATTTAAAATGCCTAAATTTAAAATGCCATCCTTTGGGCTGAAAGGCCCAAACGTTGAAGGGCCAGAAGTTGATGTCAGCATGCCGAAAGCTGATATTGATATCAAAGCACCTGATGTTGACATTAAAGGACCAGAGGTTGACATAGAAGGACCGGACGCAAAACTGAAAGGACCCAAATTCAGCATGCCAACCATTTCAGGACCAAAACTTTCCATGCCAGATGTGGATTTCAAACTGAAAGGTCCCAAACTCAAAGGTGATGTGGATATGTCAGTACCAAAGATCGAAGGAGACGTTAAAACACCGAAGGTTGACGTTAAAGGTCCAGAGGCTGATATTAAAGGGCCAAAGGGTGGATTTGAAATGCCTAACATCAAAATGCCATCAATATCAGGACCCAAGATGCCAGATTGGGATATTAATCTGAAAGGACCCAAAATAAAGGGAGATGTCGACGTGTCAGTTCCAGAGATTGAGGGTGACATAAAAGCTCCCAAGGTCGATATTGAAGGACCAGATGTTAACATCGAGGGCCACAAAGGAGGATTTAAAATGCCTAAATTTAAAATGCCATCCTTTGGGCTGAAAGGCCCAAACGTTGAAGGGCCAGATGTTGATGTCAGCCTCCCAAAAGCTGATATTGATATTAAAGCCCCTGAAATGGAAATCAAAGGACCAGATATTGACATTGACAGTCCAAGTGGAAAAATCAAAGGACCCAAATTCAGCATGCCAACCATTTCAGGACCGAAACTTTCCATGCCAGATGTGGATTTCAAGCTGAAAGGTCCCAAACTCAAAGGTGATGTGGATATGTCAGTGCCAAAGATCGAAGGAGACATTAAAACACCGAAGGTTGACATTAAAGGTCCAGAGGCTGATATTAAAGGGCCAAAGGGTGGATTTGAAATGCCTAACATCAAAATGCCATCAATTTCAGGACCCAAGATGCCAGATTGGGATATTAATCTGAAAGGACCCAAAATAAAGGGAGATGTCGACGTGTCAGTTCCAAAGATAGAGGGTGACATAAAAGCTCCCAAGGTCGATATTGAAGGACCAGATGTTGACATCGAGGGCCACAAAGGAGGATTTAAAATGCCTAAATTTAAAATGCCATCCTTCGGAGTGAAAGGTCCAAATATTGAAGGGCCAGAAGTTGACGTCAGCATGCCGAAAGCTGATATTGATATTAAAGCACCTGATGTTGACATTAAAGGACCAGAGGTTGACATAGAAGGACCGGATGCAAAACTAAAAGGACCCAAATTCAGCATGCCAACAATTTCAGGACCAAAACTTTCCATGCCTGATGTGGATTTCAAGCTGAAAGGTCCCAAACTCAAAGGTGATGTGGATATGTCAGCGCCAAAGATCGAAGGAGACATTAAAGGTCCAGAGGCTGATATTAAAGGGCCAAAGGGTGGATTTGAAATGCCTAACATCAAAATGCCATCAATTTCAGGACCCAAGATGCCAGATTGGGATATTAATCTGAAAGGACCCAAAATAAAGGGAGATGTCGACGTGTCAGTTCCAAAGATTGAGGGTGACATAAAAGCTCCCAAGGTCGATATTGAAGGACCAGATGTTGACATCGAGGGCCACAAAGGAGGATTTAAAATGCCTAAATTTAAAATGCCATCCTTTGGGATGAAAGGTCCAAATCTCGAAGGGCCAGATGTTGATGTCAGCCTCCCAAAAGCTGATATTGATATTAAAGTCCCTGACATGGAAATCAAAGGACCAGAAATTGACATTGACAGTCCAAGTGGAAAAATCAAAGGACCCAAATTCAACATGCCAACTATTTCAGGACCAAAACTTTCCATGCCAGATGTGGATTTCAATTTGAAAGGTCCCAAACTCAAAGGTGATGTGGATATGTCAGCGCCAAAGATCGAAGGAGACATTAAAACACCAAAGGTTGACATTAAAGGTCCAGAGGCTGATATTAAAGGGCCAAAGGGTGGATTTGAAATGCCTAACATCAAAATGCCATCAATATCAGGACCCAAGATGCCAGATTGGGATATTAATCTGAAAGGACCCAAAATAAAGGGAGATGTCGACGTGTCAGTTCCAAAGATAGAGGGTGACATAAAAGCTCCCAAGGTCGATATTGAAGGACCAGATGTTGACGTCGAGGGCCACAAAGGAGGATTTAAAATGCCTAAATTTAAAATGCCATCCTTTGGGCTGAAAGGCTCAAATGTTGAAGGGCCAGATGTTGATGTCAGCCTCCCAAAGGCTGATATTGATATTAAAGCCCCTGAAATGGAAATCAAAGGACCAGATATTGACATTGACAGTCCAAGTGGAAAACTGAAAGGACCCAAATTCAGCATGCCAACAATTTCAGGACCGAAACTTTCCATGCCAGATGTGGATTTCAATTTGAAAGGTCCCAAACTCAAAGGTGATGTGGATATGTCAGCGCCAAAGATCGAAGGAGACATTAAAACACCGAAGGTTGACATTAAAGGTCCAGAGGCTGATATTAAAGGGCCAAAGGGTGGATTTGAAATGCCTAACATCAAAATGCCATCGATTTCAGGACCCAAGATGCCAGATTGGGATATTAATCTGAAAGGACCCAAAATAAAGGGAGATGTCGACGTGTCAGTTCCAAAGATAGAGGGTGACATAAAAGCTCCCAAGGTCGATATTGAAGGACCAGATGTTGACATCGAGGGCCACAAAGGAGGATTTAAAATGCCTAAATTTAAAATGCCATCCTTCGGAGTCAAAGGTCCAAATATTGAAGGGCCAGATGTTGATGTCAGCATGCCGAAAGCTGATATTGATATCAAAGCACCTGATGTTGACATTAAAGGACCAGAGGTTGACATAGAAGGACCGGACGCAAAACTGAAAGGACCCAAATTCAGCATGCCAACAATTTCAGGACCAAAACTTTCCATGCCAGATGTGGATTTCAAACTGAAAGGTCCCAAACTCAAAGGTGATGTGGATATGTCAGTGCCAAAGATCGAAGGAGACATTAAAACACCGAAGGTTGACATTAAAGGTCCAGAGGCTGATATTAAAGGGCCAAAGGGTGGATTTGAAATGCCTAACATCAAAATGCCATCAATATCAGGACCCAAGATGCCAGATTGGGATATTAATCTGAAAGGACCCAAAATAAAGGGAGATGTCGACGTGTCAGTTCCAAAGATTGAGGGTGACATAAAAGCTCCCAAGGTCGATATTGAAGGACCAGATGTTGACATCGAGGGCCACAAAGGAGGATTTAAAATGCCTAAATTTAAAATGCCATCCTTTGGGCTGAAAGGCCCAAACGTTGAAGGGCCAGATGTTGATGTCAGCCTCCCAAAAGCTGATATTGATATTAAAGCCCCTGAAATGGAAATCAAAGGACCAGAAATTGACATTGACAGTCCAAGTGGAAAAATCAAAGGACCCAAATTCAGCATGCCAACAATTTCAGGACCAAAACTTTCCATGCCAGATGTGGATTTCAATTTGAAAGGTCCCAAACTCAAAGGTGATGTGGATATGTCAGCGCCAAAGATCGAAGGAGACATTAAAACACCGAAGGTTAACATTAAAGGTCCAGAGGCCGATATTAAAGGGCCAAAGGGTGGATTTGATATGCCTAACATCAAAATGCCATCAATTTCAGGACCCAAGATGCCAGATTGGGATATTAATCTGAAAGGACCCAAAATAAAGGGAGATGTCGACGTGTCAGTTCCAAAGATTGAGGGTGACATAAAAGCTCCCAAGGTCGATATTGAAGGACCAGATGTTAACATCGAGGGCCACAAAGGAGGATTTAAAATGCCTAAATTTAAAATGCCATCCTTCGGGGTGAAAGGTCCAAATCTCGAAGGGCCAGAAGTTGATGTCAGCATGCCGAAAGCTGAAATTGATATCAAAGCACCTGATGTTGACATTAAAGGACCAGAGGTTGACATAGAAGGACCAGATGCAAAACTGAAAGGACCCAAATTCAGCATGCCAACAATTTCAGGACCGAAACTTTCCATGCCAGATGTGGATTTCAAACTGAAAGGTCCCAAAATCAAAGGTGATGTGGATATGTCAGCGCCAAAGATCGAAGGAGACGTTAAAACACCTGACTTTGACATCAAAGGTCCACAGGTTGATATTGAAGGTCCGAAAGGTGGATTTGAAATGCCCAAAATCAAAATGCCATCATTTGGCTTCAAAGGTCCGAAAGTGGAGGGTCCAGATGTTGATATAAACCTTCCCAAAGGAAACATTGACATGAAATCACCTGCTGTTGACATTAAAGGGCCAGAGATTGACATTGAACGACCTGATGCAAAGCTCAAAGGACCGAAATTCAGCATGCCAACCATTTCAGGACCGAAACTTTCCATGCCAGATGTGGATTTCAATCTGAGTGGACCCAAACTCAAAGGTGATGTAGATCTGTCATCTCCAAAGATAGAGGGAGACATTAAAACACCTACGGTTGACATTAAAGTTCCAGAGGCTGATATTAAAGGGCCAAAGGGTGGATTTGAAATGCCTAACATCAAAATGCCATCAATATCAGGACCCAAGATGCCAGATTGGGATATTAATCTGAAAGGACCCAAAATAAAGGGCGATGTCGATGTTTCAGTTCCAAAGATTGAGGGTGACATAAAAGCTCCCAAGGTTGATATTGAAGGACCAGATGTTGACATTGAGGGCCACAAAGGAGGATTTAAAATGCCTAAATTTAAAATGCCATCCTTTGGGATGAAAGGCCCAAACGTTGAAGGGCCAGATGTTGATGTCAGCCTCCCAAAAGCTGATATTGATATTAAAGCCCCTGAAATGGAAATCAAAGGACCAGATATTGACATTGACAGTCCAAGTGGAAAAATCAAAGGACCCAAATTCAGCATGCCAACCATTTCAGGACCAAAACTTTCCATGCCAGATGTGGATTTCAATCTGAGAGGACCGAAACTCAAAGGTGATGTTGATGTGGTAACTCCAAAGATCGAAGGAGACATTAAAACACCTGAAGTTAAGATCAAGGGTCCTACCGTTGACTTAGAATCTCCAGAAGGACAACTTAGTGGGCCAAAGGTGAAGTTACCAAAAATGTCTGGACCGAAAATATCATTGCCAGATGTTGACATCAATGTGAAGGGGCCAAAGGTCAAGGGTGATTTCAAAGGGGATGTTCAGTTGCCAAAAGCTGAACTTGAGGGACCAGATGTCACCATTGATGTTCCAGAAATTGGTGCAAAGAAAGCTAAATTCAAAATGCCAAAATTTGGATTTAAGGGTTCAAAGATAAAGGCCCCAGACACAGACGTGAAAATGGCAAAAGGTGATATAAGTATCAAAGGGATGACTGGTAGCTCTGAAGGTCTTGATCTTGACCTGGGATTGACTGGTTCAAAAACTAAAGGATCCAAATTCAAGATGCCAAAATTTGGTTTCAAAGGCCCAAAAGTTGAAATGCCAGAAGTTGATGTTAATCCGAACATTTCCATGCCAGATGTGGATTTTAATGTGAAAGGTCCCAAACTCAAAGGGGATTTGGATGTGTCAGTTCCAAAGATTAAGGGAGACATAACAGGGCCTGAAGTTGACATCAAAGGTCCAGATATGGAATGTTCAAAGGGGGGATTTGAAATGCCTAAAATTAAAATGCCATCTTTCAGCATTAAGAGTCCCAAAGTAGAGGGCCCTGATGTTGACATTGATCTTCCAAAAGCTGATATGGAGATCAAAGCACCTGGAATTGACATGAAGGGGCAAGACATTGATGTTGAAGGCCCTGATGCAAAATTGAAAGGACCCAAATTAAAGTTGCCATCCGTACAAGCACCAAAGATGCCAGACTGGGATATCAATCTGAAAGGTCCAAAACTGAAAGGAGATGTGAATATGAAAGGTCCTAAGATTGAGGGAGATATTGAAACTCCTAAAATAGACGTTGAAGTACCAGACATTGACATTGACAGTCCAAGTGCAAAAATAAAGGGGCCAAAATTCAAGATGCCAACTATCTCAGGACCGAAGATTTCCATGCCAGATATGGATTTCAATTTGAAAGGTCCCAAACTCAAAGGTGATGTGGATTTGTCAGTGCCAAAGATTAAAGGAGACATAAAAACACCTGATTTTGACATCAAAGGTCCACAGGTTGATGTTGAAGGTTCAAAAGGTGGATTTGAAATGCCTAAAATCAAAATGCCATCATTTGGTTTCCAAGGTCCAAAAGTGGAGGGTCACGATGTTGATATTAACCTTCCCAAGGCTAAAATTGATGTTAAAGCACCTGACGTTGACATTAAAGGACCAGAGATTGACATTGAAGGACCTGATGCAAAACTCAAAGGACCCAAAATCAAAATGCCATCAGTATCGGGACCCAAGATGCCAGATTGGGATATTAATCTGAAAGGGCCAAAAATAAAGGGAGATGTTGACGTGTCAGTTCCAAAGATCGAGGGTGACATTAAAGGTCCCAAGGTCGATATTGAAGGACCAGATGTTGACATCGAGGGCCACAAAGGAGGATTTAAAATGCCTAAATTTAAAATGCCATCCTTCGGAGTGAAAGGTCCAAATATTGAAGGGCCAGAAGTTGATGTCAGCATGCCGAAAGCTGATATTGATATCAAAGCACCTGATGTTGACATTAAAGGACCAGAGGTTGACATAGAAGGACCGGACGCAAAACTGAAAGGACCCAAATTCAGCATGCCAACAATTTCAGGACCAAAACTTTCCATGCCTGATGTGGATTTCAAGCTGAAAGGTCCCAAACTCAAAGGTGATGTGGATTTGTCAGCACCAAAGATGGAGGGAGACATTGAAACACCTGAGTTTGATATCAAAGGTCCACAGGCTGATATTGAAGGTCTGAAAGGTGGATTTGAAATGCCTAAAATCAAAATGCCATCATTTGGCATTAAAGGTCCAAAAGTAGAGGGTCCAGATGTTGATATAAATCTTCCCAAAGCAAACATTGACGTGAAAGCACCTGACGTTGACATCAAAGGACCAGATTTTGACATTGAGTGCCCAAGTGGTAAAATCAAAGGACCCAAATTCAACATGCCAAACATTTCAGGACCAAAACTTTCCATGCCAGATGTGGATTTCAAGCTGAAAGGTCCCAAACTTAAAGGTGATGTGGATATGTCAGCGCCAAAGATCGAAGGAGACATTGAAACACCTGACATTGACATCAAAGGTCCACAGGTTGATATCAAAGGACCTAAGGGAGGATTTGACATGCCTAAAATCAAAATGCCATCATTTGGATTCAAAGGTCCAAAAGTAGAGGGTCCAGATGTTGATATAAACCTTCCCAAGGCAAACATTGACATGAAAGCACCTGATGTTGACATTAAAGGGCCAGAGATAGATGTTGCAGGCCCTGATGCAAAACTCAAAGGACCCAAAATCAAAATGCCATCAATGTCAGGACCTACAATGCCAGATTGGGATATTAGTCTGAAAGGGTCCAAAATAAAGGGAGATGTCGACGTGTCAGTTCCAAAGATTGAGGGTGATATAAAAGCTCCCAAGGTCCATATTGAAGGACCAGATGTTGACATTGATGGCCACAAAGGAGGATTTAAAATGCCTAAATTTAAAATGCCATCCTTTGGGCTGAAAGGTCCAAATGTTGAAGGGCCAGATGTTGATGTCAGCCTCCCGAAAGCTGATATTGATATTAAAGCCCCTGAATTGGATATCAAAGGACCAGATTTTAACATTGACAGTCCAAGTGGAAAAATCAAAGGACCCAAATTCAGCATGCCAACAATTTCAGGACCGAAACTTTCCATGCCAGATGTGGATTTCAAACTGAAAGGTCCCAAACTCAAAGGTGATGTGGATATGTCAGTGCCAAAGATCGAAGGAGACGTTGAAACACCTGACCTTGACATCAAAGGTCCACAGGTTGATATCAAAGGGCATACGGGTGGATTTGACATGCCTAAAATCAAAATGCCATCATTTGGATTCAAAGGTCCAAAAGTAGAGGGTCCAGATGTTGATATAAACCTTCCCAAGGCAAACATTGACGTGAAAGCACCTGATGTTGACATTAAAGGGCCAGAGATAGATGTTGCAGGCCCTGATGCAAAACTCAAAGGACCCAAAATCAAACTGCCATCAATGTCAGGACCCACAATGCCAGATTGGGATATTAGTGTGAAAGGACCCAAGGTGAAGGGAGATGTTGACGTGTCAATTCCAAAGATTGAGGGTGATATAAAAGCTCCTAAGGTCGATATTGAAGGACCAGATGTTGACATTGAGGGCCACAAAGGAGGATTTAAAATGCCTAAATTTAAAATGCCATCTTTTGGGCTGAAAGGTCCAAATGTTGAAGGGCCAGATGTTGATGTCAGCCTCCCGAAAGCTGAAATTGATATTAAAGCCCCTGAATTGGATATCAAAGGACCAGATTTTAACATTGACAGTCCAAGTGGAAAAATCAAAGGACCCAAATTCAACATGCCAAACATTTCAGGACCAAAACTTTCCATGCCAGATGTGGATTTCAAACTGAAAGGTCCCAAACTCAAAGGTGATGTGGATATGTCAGTGCCAAAGATCGAAGGAGACGTTGAAACACCTGACCTTGACATCAAAGGTCCACAGGTTGATATCAAAGGGCCTACGGGTGGATTTGACATGCCTAAAATCAAAATGCCATCATTTGGATTCAAAGGTCCAAAAGTAGAGGGTCCAGATGTTGATATAAACCTTCCCAAGGCAAACATTGACGTGAAAGCACCTGATGTTGACATTAAAGGGCCAGAGATAGACGTTGCAGGCCCTGATGCAAAACTCAAAGGACCAAAAATCAAACTGCCATCAATGTCAGGACCCACAATGCCAGATTGGGATATTAATCTGAAAGGGCCCAAGGTGAAGGGAGATGTTGACGTGTCAGTTCCAAAGATTGAGGGTGATATAAAAGCTCCTAAGGTCGATATTGAAGGACCAGATGTTGACATTGAGGGTCACAAAGGAGGATTTAAAATGCCTAAATTTAAAATGCCATCTTTTGGGATGAAAGGTCCAAATGTTGAAGGTCCAGATGTTGATGTCAGCCTCCCAAAGGCTGATATTGATATTAAAGCCCTGAATTGGACATAAAAGGACCAGATATTGACATTGACAGTCCAAGTGGAAAAATCAAAGGACCCAAATTCAACATGCCAACCATTTCAGGACCAAAACTTTCCATGCCAGATGTGGATTTCAAGCTAAAAGGTCCCAAACTCAAAGGTGATGTGGACATGTCAGTGCCAAAGATCGAGGGAGACATTGAAACGCCTGACTTTGACATCAAAGGTCCACAGGTTGATATCAAAGGGCCTAAGGGTGGATTTGACATGCCTAAAATCAAAATGCCATCATTTGGATTCAAAGGTCCAAAAGTAGAGGGTCCAGATGTTGATATTAACCTTCCCAAGGCTAACATTGATTTGAAAGCACCTGCCCTTGATATTAAAGGGCCAGAGATTGACATTGCAGGTCCTGATGCAAATCTTAAAGGACCAAAAATCAAACTGCCATCAATGTCAGGACCCGCAATGCCAGATTGGGATATTAGTGTGAAAGGACCCAAGGTGAAGGGAGATGTCGACGTGTCAGTTCCAAAGATTGAGGGTGACATAAAAGCTCCCAAGGTCGATATTGAAGGACCAGATGTTGACATTGATGGTCACAAAGGAGGATTTAAAATGCCTAAATTTAAAATGCCATCCTTTGGGCTGAAAGGTCCAAATGTTGAAGGGCCAGATGTTGATGTCAGCCTCCCGAAAGCTGATATTGATATTAAAGCCCCTGAATTGGACATCAAAGGACCAGATTTTGACATTGACAGTCCAAGTGGAAAAATCAAAGGACCCAAATTCAACATGCCAACCATTTCAGGACCAAAACTTTCCATGCCAGATGTGGATTTCAAGCTAAAAGGTCCCAAACTCAAAGGTGATGTGGACATGTCAGTGCCAAAGATCGAAGGAGACATTGAAACGCCTGACTTTGACATTAAAGGTCCACAGGTTGATATCAAAGGGCCTAAGGGTGGATTTGACATGCCTAAAATGAAAATGCCATCATTTGGATTCAAAGGTCCAAAAGTAGAGGGTCCAGATGTTGATATAAACCTTCCCAAGGCAAACATTGATGTGAAAGCACCTGGCCTTGACATTAAAGGGCCAGAGATTGACATTGACAGTCCAAGTGGAAAAATCAAAGGACCCAAATTCAACATGCCAACCATTTCATCCCCGAAAATATCTATGCCAAATATGGATCTCAATCTGAAAGGTCCCAAACTCAAAGGTGATGTGGATTTGTCAGCTCCAAAGATTGAAGGAGACGTTAAAACACCTCATGTTGATATCAAAGGTCCAGAAGTCAACATTGAAGGGCCTAAGGGTGGATTTGAAATACCTAAAATCACAATGCCATCATTTAACATGAAAGGTCCAAAAGTGGAGGGCCCAGATGTTGATATTAACCTTCCCAAAGCTAACATTGATGTGAAAGCACCTGGGGTTCATATTAAATCCCCAGAGATTGACATTGAAGGCCCTGATGCAAAAATCAAAGGACCAAAATTCAACATGCCATCCGTTTCAGGTCCTAAAATATCCATGCCAAATGTGGATTTCAATCTGAAAAGTCCCAAACATAAAGGTGATGTGGATGTCTCAGCTCCAAAGATAGAGGGAGGCATTAAAACCCCTGGCATTGACATTAAAGGTCCAGAGGTTGATATTGAAGGGCCAAAGGGTGGATTTGAAATGCCTAAAATCAAAACGCCTTCATTTGGCTTTAAAGGTCCACAGTTGGAAGGCCCAGGCATTGATGTCAGCCTTCCCAAATCTAATATTGATGTTAAAGCACCTGAGCTTGACATCAACCTAAAAGGGTCCAAAGTCAAAGGAAAGATGGATGCAACAGTGCCCAAAGTGGAAGGAGATATCAAAGGTCCAAATGCTAACATTGCAGTACCCACCATCACTATGGAAGGTGTGTCTATTGAGCCTGTAAATACAGGTGTTACATTTCCCAAGTTCAAAGGTCCTAAGTTTGGAATGAAATCCACAGACGTGGAGGGGCCTGAATCCATTGTGAAGACACCCACGTTTAGTGTGGGAGCAAAAGATTCCAAAAAAGAAGTTAGTCTCCCAGATACTGAAGCAAGTCTTGATGTCCCTGATGTTGACATCAATGTAAAGGGGAAAAAGGGAAAATTTAAACTTCCTAAAGTCAAAGGAAAGGCAAAGAAACCTGATGTTGACATAGAAACACCAGCTGTAAACCTGGATGTAGACACCCCTAATATTCATGTCAAAGGCAAAAAGGTAAAGAAGCCCTTTTTGGTAAGCTTAATTTTCCTGATGTGGAATTAGATATCAAATCACCAAAAACGAAAGGCGATGGATCGTTATCAGAAGGAATGAAATCATCTGACGTAGATTTGCGATCTGCTAGCTTGAACACGGCCATTGAAGGTTCTGGGACTGGCAGTCCAAATGTTCATTTGCAAGGGCCAGATGTGAAATTGAAGACTCCTAATATTAAAATGTCAAATGTAAACATATCTACCCCTGATATTGATGCAAATCTAAACAGACAAGGAGAGGCAGGTATTTCTGCAGGTTTCAAAGGCAAAAATATAAATGTGAAAGGTGGTGCAGAGATTGATGCAAGTGTTTCAGGGGATAATGCCACTGGTGACCTTCATTACCCAGAGGGTACTGTAACATTTCCCAAAATGAAGGTACCAAAATTTGGTATTGCTCTGCCTCAGTTGGAAGGACAGCATGGTGGAGGAAATGTTGAATCAGAACTTGCTGCTAGTGGAGACATCAACATTCAGTCTCCATCTGTTAGCTGCCAAGTCAGTTCACAAAATATTGAGGTTCCCAGTCCAGAAATAAGGCACAGTGAGGGCAAAGTAAAAGTAAAGATGCCAAAATTTTTGGCAAATCAAAGGCAAAGGGCAGTAGTGTAGGTGACCTTCGGGGACCAGAGGTAGAACTGAGCACTAGTGGAAAAGGCGGTAAGGTCTCTAAAGATGTAAGTGTACATACTGGTGAACTGATGGGTGGAAAATTTGAGGGTGACCCTGGACTCAGTGTGTCAACTAAAGGCAAGTCCGCCTCACTGGATCTATTTAAGAAATCAAGGCATCGGTCTTCTTCTCTCAGTGATGAAGGGGGGCTTGCAGTTAGTTCTCCTTCCGGTCACTTAGAAGCTGAGGGTGGTGACATTTCATTAGACCTTGGAGAAAGCAAGGTCAAAGGAAAGAAAGGAAAGTTGAAGTTTGGTACCTTTGGAGGTTTTGGTTCAAAGTCAAAGGGCTCATACGAAGTGACGCTTGGTGAGGAGAGTGAAGCAGGAGTGGAGGGCAGTGCAGGTGTTTCTCTAGCCTCTAAAAAATCGAGATTGTCTTCGTCTTCCAGCAATGACAGTGGTTCAAAAGGAGGTTTCAGGTTCCCAAGACTTGAACTATCTGTTTCACCAAAAAAAGATTAATTATGAGGCAAATTAAACTCTCTCATGTACATGCAAATGCACTCTCCTAAAATGGCAAATTCATCAAATTGTTTAAAACCTGAGAGGACAAACACAGTCATCTCAGTTTTAATGACTTTTTAATGACTAACTATTATTTTCAGTAATTAGACAGGAGTGCATGAGATTGTTTAAATTCCCTTCAAACTGTAAATAAGATTAATTTGTATTGTAATAATAAATATTTCTTTTTGTACATAGACAAGATTTATTGAACATATGCCATTTCACCAAATTTTCAACAATAGTTTATAACAGGGTTTGTCATTTATTTCATTTTATTAAATGAATGTTGTTAATGAACGGGTGTGGTATATTTGTATCCAGGGACAGAAGAGATAGTTACAGTAGTTATTTTGAAGGAAAATGTTGTTTATACAAAAATATTAAACAGTTCCAATTTTTCTTTATGTAAGAAATGATTTAATTTTCAAGCTTTGATATTATATAATCAGTGCAGAAGCAGAATTTACTCATCATAGAGCTGGTCCTTCATAACACATTCTAAAGAGTGGTGGTGTTGTATATACCATAATTACAAAAACAATCACTGTCAACTCTGTCAATAGTTGTCAGTACTTTTATTCACCCTTAAATTCTGTGCCATTTACCATAAATATGCATTTGTTTCATTTGTTTTAAACATGTTTTGTTTCTTTATCCTGTCATTTTAATTTTCATTTCATATTTTATGATCCTCTATATTTTATTTTCTGTCAATCTGTCTTTGTACACACACCTTATGATTAAGTAAAAAATAAACAGTCACTTTTTGATCTAATTTGTTTGCAAAAAAAATCTGTGTTGATAAGAGAGTTGATGGAGATAAAGCATGATTCTTTGGGTCTATTATTTTGTGTGCATTCTGCCAATCAAACTCAATAAAAAGATTTATAAAATGTATAACATTTCTTAAATCGATATTTGTCAGTGATTTAATCGCATGATATGATGTGATATGAGCAATACTTGATTGGGTTTGTGAATGTTTTGTTCCACATACACATACGCGCAGTCATTTTATCCAATTTTCAATATCCTTCATGTTGCTTAACTAAGGTTCTCATATGTCTAAGGCCATTATACACTTTAAATTATTATTAAGTGGTGAACAGGCATATGAATTAATACTTATTTTTGATTACAATGTACTCATTAGGAATCATCTACCAATTAATCCTACTTGAATTATCATTTGTAGTTTTTGATCATATACCTCTGATGCGGAGACTGCTAACACTAAACACAGCCATATATACAGATAAATTAAGTCAACCGTTCATTAAACACACAACACGCAGTGGCCTTTTCACTCACACATAAAAACATATATTTTAACAATGCACATTATACGGTACATTCATAGGCCATGGCATACATATAGTAGGTTGATTGGCCAATATCCTAAAGCAAGTTGATTGTGCTGCTGAGTGGTACAGACAGACTAAGCGTAGGAGTTGCCAGGCTGAGAATGGTTCGGCTGCGGACAGTAGCTCAGGGGGCGTGGCATGAGCGAGGGGCGTTGCTTGAGAGGTGCTACAGTCCGCAGCTGGACATTATTGAGGCTGTAGGCAAATTACCATATATGAAAAACAGCTCTGTATGACATCATTAAGAGCCAAGAGTAGAGCTTTGGCCACGTTTAACATGAATATCTGACATCGTAACATTATAGATAACACATAAAATATAAGAAGCCTAATAAGTCTCCTTTGCTTGTGCAAACCAACCAACCACCACATTTTATGATAGCAGAGATGTGATCTGAGCATTATTTCCAAAGCTAAACCACTAATAAATCCATCTACTGACCTCGAAATGTGTTCAGCGATCTTATAATTGATCTGTATAAGCCATGTATAGGCTATGCTTACTTGTCAGGGCAGGTATTTTCATTCAGCGCAGGTACTACTTCATTTCAGTTCATTAAGTCCGTAAAACATTTGTGACAGCAATACCACAGTATACTATAGGCTAATAAGCCACAAATTATTCCTGTATACAGATCAGAAGCATTAAAGTGCTGCATAAACTTCTGTTAGTCACCGGTGTTTGATTTCCCCACTTGGGTCCTGATGATGCAGGCTGACAATCGCCAAAGCTGTCCAATCAACAAGTTACCTGTAAGTCTGTGTAACGTCATGGTTACTTCTCTTGGTTCGTTTGTAAAATTGCAGTGTGAACATGAACGGGACCAGAACTAAAATGCAACAGTGTATTATTTTTTTCACTTGGTCCGGACCAAATGAACCGAACTACAGGTGTGAAAGTGCCCTTAACTTCAGTCCACCAATCAGAACAGAGGACCCAGTCCTTTGATCTTTCATCAGCTGATTTACGTCACCAAAGTAACCAGCTCTACAATAGAGACAGATAGGAAAATCCCTCTGAAACTTTCTGTCAAACAAACCTCCATAGAGACTAAACTATAGGTCGTATTGGCAAAATGAACTGACCAGCAGCGGAAGAAGGCATTTTTGGACGATGTGATATGTTTATGTTTGTGTGGATAAAGTAAAAAAAAGTGAGCCCTTCAGCGAGTTAAAAAACTGGTATGTTCTGCTCTGGTCCAGAAATTTTGACACAAACTTATAATGGCTGCCAATGGAGGAGCTGGCTGTCACTCTTGTCCTTTGGAAGGACGCCAAATCTATAAGTCTGAGGGATTTAAAAAGCCCATGTGAGGACCACAACAAAATTTACAACGTTTCTGCTGTAAAATTAACATTCCATCCCATCCGCTCCCATTATAAACTCAGAAAAGAGCTCAAAAAAGCATAACACTTCGACAGTGACCGTGAACAAACCATAAAATACATCAAAACGCTGAATACATCATTAATAGATTAACTTCTTGTGACCAATTTACAGTTTAAATCAAGTCTGTAGCTGAAAGTATGCTGAACTGGTGACCTTTCAAAGTGGAGTAGGTATCATATCTCCTCCACACCGGGCTATCTGCATATCTACTACATGGTAGGAAAGGTTAAAAAAACTAAACAAAATGAATGAATAAAATGGAAGAAGAAAGAAAATACAGAATGATGATATCATGTGACATGGCAAAATGGTTATGCTGTTGCCAAAGGTAGCAAAGAAAAATATGTATTGACACAATGTTTCGGTACTAGACCTTCATCAGGCAAATAGTGTTACATAGTGAGAAGCCATCTTTTGTAGGAGGTGACTTATTTGTCTACACCAATCACCTACTTCCACATAAAATAAGGCAGCCACTATGCTGTTGCCAAACCAGCAATAAGAAACTTGTTTTGAAATAAAAACTTATGGGATATAACTGACAGGGCATTTAACACTAGCAAAAGTATTGCACTCAATCAAAAAATAAAAAGCATAATAAAAAAAGCAAAAGCTACTTGCTGTGCTTCCTTCTCACAATAGTGGAGTACCACAGACAGACTGTAGGTTACAGGTGATGTCACTGAGGTGAGTTATGAAGACTGAATTTGGCTATTTTTGTTGTACTTTGTTTCATCTAATTTGGGTAAAGAAGAAGAAACAGTGCGATACTTATAGACAAAAAATACCAACAAAACAAAGAATTTTGAAGACATATGGCCTGTGTCTATGTAATACCATTTCACTTACCATGTAGTATGTCATATCATATCCCCGCCACTCCACATCAGGCCACCAAGTGATCTCAATTTTCTGCTTTGTTATTCATCCATGGTTATGAAATTGCAGAAACAAGATCATTCCACAGGAGAGTTAAAAACACACACACAAAATTTGGGCAATCTGCAATGCCCTGGCCTTGGAGAAGATTTGTTGACTTTCAAAGTTCATGTGATTATTCAAAAAGAAATAAAATTACTTGTTGTGCTAGCATGCATATCAGAAGAGAATCTGCAGTAGCTAGGCACCTTAACTATATAATGCCGCCTTCTGGTTTGATTGCTAAGCAGTTTCTGTGCTTATGCAGCTGTTTGTTAGCTAGCTATATGTAATGTACTAGCCTATGTAGTTATTAGCGACGTTCACATTTTCTCCACATAATAAGTTAAGCATTAAATAATATTCCAGATCTAAGCTTGGGTTATTTATAACTTTGTTTAAATATTCTTACTGTTCATCAGGCACACTTTGCCAGTCTAACCTCATATTTTCGGCCACCTGCACATAGCACTAAAATTTACAATAATACATGGTCTAAGTTATTTGTGATTATTTATATGCATAAATTAAGTGCTATCTGCTGCATTCTCACCTTCTGCATAGTCAGCTTAGCTTAAGATGCCCCAACTGGTTTCACTGTGGTACAACAATGAAACTTCCACTTCTGTGATTCAGAACAAGAGGTTGCATGTCAAGAAGCATTAATAACCGCAAAATGATTTATTACAGTTTGTTGTACAGTTGTGTTATATAATTAAGATATTAGAATATTACACAGAAGAAAAAAGACTATTTATACACTATATATGGATAATGGATAATTTACTGTTTATTATACACTGTTATACATTTTTGACATTACATTGTCTACCATAACAACATATCATCACACTGTATATATTAATATAGCTCAAATTAGGCTTGTGGGAATGCAGATAAAGAATAGTAAAAGTCAGGCAAAATAAAAACAATTTCAATCCCTTGAAATGCCTGACTGAATGATATACAGTAGGATGTGGGTCTTCTTACGGAAAAGGTTAAATACGCCACCCAGTGGTTACACTGATTTGATAAATCAGTATTGGGAGTAGTATAAATATAGTCTTCAGAAACTTGTGATTTTTGAGTGCCCTTTTTTTTGCAATGAGTTAATTCTGCACTGTATTTATATTTGATTAGGCTTACAGATTCATACAAAGCTACATAATCACATGCATTTTTTTTGAAACATTTATTACTGATTACTCTTTATTTGATGTTATTACATAGGCCTACTTGAACTCTATCTGCAACACAGATATGGACTAGTGTTGGTTATAATGGTTTTAACAAGCAGCAGTTAGACATCTTGGTCATATTACAATGTATTAATGCAAGTGCTCCAGAAACATGGTTTGTAGAGTGAGGCTTTGTGAAAGCAGTGTTTTGCCTCCATGTCAGGATGTGAACCCAGTGTTCCTGGTTACTTGAATACCATTGTTGTTGTAGTGCAGTGGAAGGAACTTATGATGAGTTTCCTTTAAAAGAGGAAAGTGCCCCCTTCCTTTTTGGAGAGACAAACATTTTTGTTAAAAGAGGGACAAAGGAGAAGAAAAAGTTGGAACAGTCCTGCACAGTCGGAATGTGTAAATTATTGGATTACATGCAGGTTGTCTTTATAGGCCATCCATTTTAGAAGATATTTCCACTGTTTGAATGGTGAGGAGTAACACTTCAATTTCTCAGGTAAGAAGAAAGATTACAGTTTATTGTGATGTATTTTTCCAACTTTTGTTGAAAATGTACATGTATTATACATTACTACAGATGAGGGCATTTCCAGAAAGAGAGGTTTTCATTTACCCAGTAGCATTAATCAGACAAAAAGATAAAAAAAAAGATTTTTTTACTATGCAATTTAGTTATGTCCTTGGTTACATTCAGATGCTTAAAGCAGTGTATGCTTTTGATTCAGGAGGTACAGTAACCTCATCTGCCGGTTGAGCCATAAATGGAACATTAAATGTAATTTTCTCATATATTTGAACTTGTCCTTCCTGACAAAGGAGACAGAAAGCTGCATCTTGTTTCTGCTCCCCGGTCTTGAACATTTGAACATCTCAGGTCAACGATGTTAAAGCAAAAAAGACATTCTTACATTTTAAAAGTAGTATTTTATAGTGTTGACTGCAGAAATTTCAAATCAGCATTTGTGTGTGTATGTATGAGTGTGAATGCCGTGCGTGTGCTGGTGAATAGGTGAGCATGTGTTAGTGTGTGTGGTTGTGTTGTG